TGGAGACACAAAGCTGAATCAGACACACTCCCTGTCTTTCACAAGTTTTTAGACTAATGTGAGAAACAGAAATGGAAACACGTAACTACAATGTGATAAGTACCATGATGTTGACATGTTCAAATTGCTACAGCAGCAAACTGGAGGAAGTACCTAACTCTGAGGGTGGTATAGAATAAAGAAGGCTTCCAGAGGAAGGGGTATTTGAGCTGTCTTGAGGGACAAATAGGGCATGGATATGTACATTGGGGAAACAATGAGTAAAGAAACAGAAACAAGAGAAACTAAGAAATACGGACCAGATGGACAGACTGCAAATCTCAAAAAGGCGAGGTTATACATGATGCTTTTACATCCTAAAAGCATAAAAATAAATAAATCTAAATAAATGAATAAAAGACACCGCCACTCACCTACCCTCACAAGCCAGAACCCTGGCAGTCTTATCAATTATGCCTTTTCTTTCACCTTTCAGATACAAGCTATGACTACATCCTCAATTCTGCCTCTGAAAACGTGGCTAGGTTTAAAAAGTGAGGAGATCTAGGATCTAGTCTTGACACTGTAGCTAACACCACTAACACAAGGTGAAACTCTAGGCAAGTTCTGACCCCATTCCCTTACTTGTAAATTGGGAGAAGAAGGGTGTTTTCTCAAAATCTGAGACTCCCAAGGTTCCCTCTCAAGCCAAGAGTCTCTACAGATCATACCATGAGCCCATGATTAAATCTCATCTTGTACTACCTCGATGATTTGACTTCTAGTTTTCACTGTTAGGCTAAATGTGTTAGAGGATGGTCTTAGTTCCCTCCCCTCCACACTCCCCCCCAACACTCCCCACCCTGCCCCCTGGTAAATAAATGTTTGCTGAGTTTTAAGTCACCTGTGACACTCTACGAATGCTCTCTATTCTAACCACAGGATTTTTCTGCTTTTTCTGAACCTGGGCTATACTATCTCAACTACGGACTTTTTGCTCAAGTTCTCTCAGCAAGAATGCCATTGTCTCCTAAGTGGCTGTGGCAGTACTTGGCATGCAGGAAGTACTCAGTATATGTTGGTTACAGGAGAGCCCTGTTTACATCTCTGCAGTTCCCTTTCATCAGAGAGAGAGATGCAAAAGTAATGGCAGTAACAAGACAGTGAATAAAGTCCCAAGAAGAGAGACCTCTGCTTATATAAGGAAGCTTTTCCACAGCAGAAGGTAGCAAGTGCTCTGTCACTGGAGGCATACAAGCCCAAAGAAGCAGGGCTCCTGTCAGGCCTGCAGCTCTGATTCCAATTCTGCAGCAAATCATCCCCTGCTTAGGGGATGAATGGGCACCAGTGGGCTAGACAGACTGGCCAGGAGAGACCTGTGGTATTTTCTGCACCTGCTCTGACCTCCCAGATGTGATCTTCCTGCTAGGGCCAGTCCTGAGTTTCTGTTGTCCACATCAGAGAACCCCCACACCAAGAACAAACCCAGGGCCTGCCCTCAGTCGAACTGACCTCCCTGGGGTGCAGCCTGCCCCTCCAACCTGCAACCATCTGTCCCTGCAGGTTTGCAGCCCAAGATCTGAAGCCAATTCCAGAAGGGAGGAGGTCAGAACCAGGGAGGGGCCTGGGGTCCTCCAGGCAGGGCTCAGGCTACAGGAGAACCAGAGGGGTCCTTTCCCACAAAAAAACAGCCTCCACATGAGGCTTCCTGTCCACAGAGCAGTGCATGGGGAGGAAAGGGTGTCCTCCATCCTGACTGGTGGGCCTGTGGGTGCCAGAGGATGGAAGGGGCGGGGGGG